CTTTAAAAATAAACACAAATTTTTATTGGCATTTCTGTCTAAGAAATTATAGAGAAATGGAAAGTCTTTAGCCACCATGGTGCCTAAAAACAAACAAAAAATATTGGAGACAAGAGTACTGACAGCAGTTTGTCTTGTTGATGGGATGGTTTTGTTTGTTTGTTTGTTTGTTTTTCTTCCCTATTAGTGAAAAAAAAAAAAAAAAAAAAAGGAAATTTATTTATTTATTATGGAAAATATCCAGAATATTGTTGGCTCATGTAATATCTGGAGCAGATATGTGATGTAGCCAGACATCCCCGTTCCCTATTCATGCATCCTAGGAAACCTGTTTGCCCGCCTGTCCATCTAACATTCCCTTCTAATGGAAAACGGAAACCTGTGTAGCAAGGGCTCCTTCCACCGTAAAATTACATTGTAGCTATGCAAACACTTTTCCAGTAGTATAGACAGTCATTTTCTGCAGTGTCATATGCAAGGACCCTGTCTCTCAACTGTTCTTCAATCCATGAACTCACTGTAAGAGAAGTTTTCAGAAGTGTCTAGGTTGAGAAAAGTGGCATGAAACTTTCTTGTCCCATGTGGCATAAAAGATCAGGTATCCCCAGGTTGTAAACCTAGGGATGCCACGTACTTTGAGAAGAATTCACATTGTTGCATGCATATAAATTTTTACTATAGCAGATATCTTAGATGACCCCACTTTGTATATTAAATTTGAGTCCATAATTTGGATTTTTTGATACCTAGCATATGTCTAGAAGGGGAAGAGAGTACAGGAAAGAGAGTTCTAAATGGCACTCTTGTGTCTGTTTCTTCATTTAAAATCACTTGTTTGTTTCCTGAAAATGTAACAAGCAAAAATTGAGTGCCCAAGACATTCTTTTCAGGCTGACAAACTGAATACAAATGTTAACCGAAGTCTTAGGCATCTCTAGCTCAAAGAAAACTGTTGATGTTCCTCATCTAACCTCTGCCCCTTCCTTCACACAGTGTGGTTCAAACATAGCAAGAATGAGAGACAGAAAGCAATAGCTTCCCTCGGCTATGCTCGACTTTGGGAAACCTTTTCCTCTGCACAGTTTTACTACAAAATCAAAAAATACAATACAATACAATACAATACAATAATAAAATAAAATAAATAATAAAATAAAATAAAATAAAATAAAATAAAATAAAATAAAATAAAATAAAATAAAATAAAATAAATAAAAATTCTTAAAGCTTTGTTCACCTAGTAACAATACTGAAAAAAGGGGGGCTATTTTGAAAGAAGATGGAGAAAAATAGAAGGTTTCTACAGAGTAACTTTAGGACTCATAGCCAGAAACTATATGAGTCTGTGGTGAGCAATGTATATCAAATAGCTTGGAAAGGAGTATATTCACTGATTAATGTACCTTTTTTTGTGTAGTATCTAGTAACCTTTCAGTATTGAGGTCACCAGGATACATATCTTCTGTAAGAAGGATACAGGAGATTTTATTTCTCATAATTTGCAATTAGTCAGGAAGCAATCCATTATCAGTAAAGCAACTGAGAATAACAGGGCTTTTCTGTTTACAAAGCAATGATGTCATAACTAAGGCACACTCTAATGAAACACCTTCCATGTCATTAGTTATGCATTGCAGATGGACTATTGCTTAAGCACTCTATGGGGGAAAAAAAAAAAAATCATAAAGGAAAATATGATACTATAAAAAATGATGAGGCAATAGTAATAGGAAGTTGAAATTTTCATTCACCTTGTGATTAAAAATGTTTTTACACAATGGGACACCTGGTATTCCATTCGAGTGAATTAACAAATCAGTACTGGTGGCATATGAGAAAGAGGATAGGAAACTGCATATTTTATTTGCATTCTACCATAGCTGATTAGAGTAGCATGTTCTATATACAGTGCTAATGTTTTAGACAGAAAGAATATTACAAAAAAAAAGGGGGGGGGGGGGGGGGGGGGAAAAGAGAAGGAAAAAATCCTGAATCTCTAGGTAAAAGTTATATGAGCTCTAGCATAAATATGGCAGATGCAAATAGGTCCATATATTACTTACATTTACACCATTTCCTTATATTTTCAGAGAATCTTTTCACATTTCAATTACAAGAATTTCTGAACACTGCTTTTCATAAATTATACTGCTGATTCCCACAGCTTTCATTATCTTACAACAAAGATAAGGATAACAATTTCAAAGACTGAAGAAAGGGCTGGCAATATGAAACAAAATAAAAGGAGGTGTGAGATCATTTTCATCTTCCTGCAGAGACAGAAATAGCATAGTTGAACCATAGCTGAGCCATAGTTAAATCAGTTCAAGACTATAGCAATGTGGGTCTATGCTTAGGGAAGCATTTATCTCTGGATAGCATCTACATATGCAATATGAATATCCGAGTCTTATTTGGTACCACTTAATGGGTTCTCTGAAGTCTTTTTCCTTGCTCACCACAGATGTCCATATAAATCTTTAGAAGCATGAAGTTTAGTCTCTTCCTTTTCTCAATTAAAATAAAAAATCGGGAATTCAGCTTAGAAAAGTTCAATCATAATTATAAGTATCAATCCATCTTTGTAAACATAATGGTACTTTCAAGATCACTTAGTCTTGTCCTTGGTGAGAGATACCTGAGTCTGGAAATTAAAGACTAGATTTTCAGTCTAGATACAGTTTTTGCCTTATGAATATCAAAGTCCCAACCAGAAATATCATAGTTATAGGGTGAAATAATTAAACACTGCCAAGCTTAACATTTTAGAGCAAAAGCATGATTATTACAAATGGTTCAGGTTAATGAAACATTAGTCAGTGCTGTGTTAAACTTGGCATATCCATATCTTGTAATCAACTCACTCCAAGCTATTTTTTGTTTTTAATTTTTGAGCCTTATCTATTTTGATATATTTATTTTGCTTGCAATTAATGTATATATATATTTATATCTAACCTATTATTTATTTTGAATATATATTTGAATCATTCTAAGGCAACTTCTTTATTTTTGAGATGTGTTTGTTTCCAAGTTTCTGTTTGAAAACAGAATGAAAGATGATCATCTGTTTTACTTTAGCAATGAAAATTGAAGGAACTCTGCTTATTCAGTTACTCTATAAATGGTCCAATAAAAATGACTTTTTCTAGAAAACTAATTTTAGAGCACAACAAAAAGAGGCTTCAGCTGCAGTTTTTCACAAAAAGTTCTCTGTGGGCTTCTATTTTTATTACTATTTGAGGGGTGAGGAGGGAAGGTTCTATGTAAGGTAAAGATGTCCCAGAACTCCTGTAATGTTAATTTCTTCTTTTTCACTGGCAAGTATATCTATTAATCTACATTTTATTCTCCACCATCTTGTGCCATCTAAATCACATTCAAATTTGATACCTCTTTCCACAAGCAAGATCACTTTTAATTTTGAACACTAACTCCTGAATTTTTGTTAATATCTAAATAATAGATTATTTTTCTGTTAGTAGTATTTCTGTGTGGTAGTAACTCTTATTTTAATAAGCAAGAGCAATAATAAATAACTAATAACAATAGTATCCTAAAATTACTCTTGGGTCTAATTTTACAGAAAACCCACTGATACTCCGCCAAGGCATTCAGGTATCACTGGTGAACCCATTCCTTAAGAGCATAAAATAAAAATGCATTCTATTTTACCAATAGTTATACTTCAATGACACAATAAGTTAAAAGCAATCAAGGGGAAATTATAATCAAAATCCAAATTAGAATGTAGAATATTCATAAATCATAAAATAAAAAGGGAGGTGATCATTCCAAAATGCAGATGATGTAGGGAGAAACTAAGTCTTGGAGAGACAAGAGAGTAGTCCATAATCACCTTGCAAAAAAACAGGACAACCAAGAACTGGATGCACTGCAAGGCCCTGTATTCTTCTATGCCATTGATCTTTGTTGGTAGTGAGAAGACCTCTGAAAGAACTAAAGAATAAGTGGTATATTTGGTCAAAAACATCTTGGATTTAACTCTGCTGTCTTCACCCCAACAAACTTTTCTGCTGTTATTTTTCTAAATCTGTAGCCTGTTGATTAACCTACTTGATTAGACAAATTAGACAAAGATTTTATTTGATAGACATTTTTTGCCAATGGACAAAGCAAATGTCCATTTGCTTACCTTTGGTGGGGTGTTTGTTTTGTTTTAAGACAATGGCATGCATCTCAGTTGTTAGATTAATCGGAGCAGTAAACATGCAGTTAATTGTGTTCAGCAGTGGAATAATTTGTGATCAGCTGTATTGCTAATAGTGCTTTATAAATGCTAAAACCAAATGAATCAATGACATTTCTGAAATCTTGTTGATTATACATTGTTAGGTGAAGAACTGGAGGGTACATGCAAAGGAAGAAATCCAGGATGTTGAGTTAACGTTAGTAGGATTAAAACAAAACACTCCATTGAAATGAGGTTCCACAAGATCCATTACAACCACAAGAACTGGAAAGATAAATATGTGTTTCAGAACAGAGACATTTCAGTTCATTCTGAGATTCCTTGTGTAACATCCAATTTTAGCCACTTTACCCATAGTGAGTACAGAAAAAGGATAGAGGAATATCCAGATCATGCTGCAATGTTAATTACTTAGGAAGACTTTTGAGTTGCAAAATAGAGCAGCAAGGGAATATATCACTCCTCAGACAACTCTTGAGTATATAAAGTGACATTTCACATCATTTCTCTCTTACTGAGTGGACTAAAAGGATTGTTTCACTTATATGGGATGAGGACCTGAACAAACATACATTTTGTTGCCATCACTTCACCGTACATCTGATGCATGCATTTTTAGAAACAGTGAAGGAAAACTTTTCCTATTTTCAGTATCTCTAGTCTCAGTCTTCAGATCAGTGTGTGATTTTGTGAAGGGCCAGGTAAACCTGAGAGCTGAAAGGCCACACAAAGTGTGTGTAGTTGAAAGAGAGATCCAAGAGAATTTATCTTCCTGATATATCCTTACCTCTGAGTCTCCATGCTTTATTGAGCAGAAGAAGTGCACATCAGAGTAGATTGAAACTTGGGAACTCCAAGTTTTCAAACCTTGAAGAACAAAAAAGTTGTATCCTTTCCTGCTGTAGGTATTTCTGTGGGTTTCTGCAAAATATTTGAGTGAATATTAACTCTTTCCCTATGCTCTTTCCTCATTTAAACTGCCAAGAAAACAATTGAAGCCTACTATCCTGCCAGTTCTGCAGTATGTGGTACCCACTGACATGGGGAAGGAGGAGGGGGGGTGGTTACCACCTCAGCAGGAGTCATATCTTCAGCATCTACTTGGTTATGTCAATACCATAGAAGATGTGTACCCCAAAATAAAAAATAAAAATAAAATAAAAATATAAATAAATAAAAATAAAAATAAAAATAAAAATAAAAATAAAAATAAAAATAAAAATAAAAATAAAAATAAAAATAAAAAATAAAAAGACCAAGGGGAATATGGTACTACCAGCACAAAGGTCTTCTTGTGCACTGGGGAGTTCTTGAGCTTTTACATTATCCTTAGTAGATTCCTGTTATCCTGACTGAACCTTAATAGGATAATCTGTCCTTAAAGTAAAAGGTTAAAGAATTCCTTGAAAGAGCAGAAATTAGACAGAAGTGCAGTCAGATGGCTGACTTCTAAATCTATGAAGAGAAGTTCTCTTCCATAGTCATGGAAACTTCACAAAGGAAGCATTCTTCATGACTGTAGTTCTTACTTGCTGTATTGTGCTAGTAAATAGAATCTGATTGTTAAAAGGTTAAATGTTTTCTTTGAATAAAGTGAGAAATACATTCTTTGACTGTTTGCTCCAATTGCCCTTCTGTGGTTTAGGTTATCTCTCTACAGCTATTAAGGTTTGCAGATTGAACTGGCTCACAGATATCCATGAAAATAACTAACTTTAGCAAGACAAGTTAGTTTTAGTTCAGTGGTCAGGTCATTTCACTAAATGCATTTATAAGATGTCCATAGCTCTATGCAATTACCTAGGTAACTAGAGAAGGCAGAATACAAAGAGACAAAGGGCAGAGCTGTTGAAGTAGAGACTTCTTAAGCTAACTTCACAGCTGAAGACAGGTTATTGTAAAACACCAGAGTTAGGGCATGGTTTGACATGAATATCTGAGGGTTTCCAGCCAGCATCAAAATACAGTGATCATGTGCTGTCAATAACTTTATTTAATTTATACTCACTCTGATGATTTAGTTTTCCTCAAATAAAAAATCCAATAGGTTAAGTGATCTGTTAGCAGGCTTTATTGTGGTAGACCAAGTCCCAGTCCTCGTGCAGCTCTTCTAAAGACAACTGAAAGATCCACAAATTGTGTGATCAGGCTCATTTCACAAAGTTCAACTTTGTGTGTGTGTGTCCACGTCTCTTGTTATCAAATTTGTACTAGTGATAGGCTTGTCAGATGACAGATCAGTTGTTTACTATTGTAAAAACATGCCCTTATTCTTGAGATCCCTACAGAATATGAGGCTGGGTCTCAGTCTAATCTCAAGCCATAGTGAAAGAACACACATATGCCAACTGAAGCTGTACTCAGTGCTAAATTGCATTTGTAAATGTGTGGATCTTGCAAAGATCTTTTTTTTTTTTTTTTGAGTGAGTCACTGTTCTGAAAATTAGGGTAAAGTAACTATCAGACTGGATGTCAGATGTACTAAAATAAATAAATAAATAAGTAAAAAAGTTAAAGAGTTAAAGTTGGAGGAATATAACCTAAGTTTAAAAAATAAATTTTAATTAATGAAAGAGTTTATAACAGTATTACAGCTAAAGTGTTTTTGTTGAAACTGCTTGAAGGTATTTCTTGGTAAAAAGGAAGAAAGTCATTGAACCCAGGCACACATTTGCTTGACAATAACTACACAGTTATTTTTTGTCTGACAGCCTCATAAATGTAGGTGTTTAGCTGTACATTGCCTTTTCAGTTTTTTTCCACACTATGTTTTCTGTAGACAGGCAGAACTGAAATAAGGATAGTGGATATTTCTCTAAATTGCTCCACTTTCCCAAATGGATTCATATTGATTTTGTGAATGCATCTTCCAAACAAATAATCTGTTTCTGCCAGCTAGACGTGCTCTACTTGCACTTAATTACCACACAGACAATGTTGTAGGAGGCTGAAATAAAATCTTGCTCTTTGAGAAGGAAGAAATAAAATTTTGTCAGGTATACATACATTTGCTTGGTCTTCAAGCAAATCAAGGAATAACCCCTGATTTGTTTATGCCTTTTCCCTTCCCTCCATGAAATCATTCCTCCCTATCAAAATGTTTATACTGTAATCCCGGGTGCCCAGCTTTTGCAGCATTGCATTACTGGCTGTTTGCTGAAAATATAATTACTCCCTAATAGTTTTATGTGTTATGTATGTGTTATGTAAACAAATCTTGCTTCTCATGAGCTTAGAAATCCCTCAAGATGTTCTTCTTAAATCATGGCTTCATTTAAAATACCTTTTAGATTTTGAACATCTGTGTATTTCAGCTCACTGCTAGCATAAGATAATTGGAGCTTCTGACTAGACTTTTTTAAAGGTCTGCTTTGGCAAACTGGCCTAGTTGATAAATATTGAAGAATCTGTATTTGAAAGAACAATTCTTTTTGCAGAGGTCTCTGCAGAGAGGGCAGGCAAGAAATAACATTTGAAACTGCAGAGCTATACATCTCATTATCTGTCACTTCCTTGTTCTCATTCTTTGCTTTCAATACATCTGTGTTGGACAGAGCCTGTTTTGTTGCTTTGCTTGCTGTGCACTCTGAGAGAGGGATATGAAAGGGAAGAGGGGAAATTCTGCTTGTTTCCCCTAGTCCCTTCCTTGTTGTTCACTGGCTGATATTAAACCTGTCAGTGGGAGCTGAGGATCGTTCCTTCCCTGGAAGAAGCAAATAGTGTTTGGGGAGAGAAGCTTCTGTAGTTCAGACTAAAGAAAGTAAAGAAGACAAAAGGGAAACAGAGAAAAGGAGGGAGTACAAAGGAAAGCTGTGTAATGCCAAAGAATATGAATATACATTTTAGACATTTATGTAGTTAGTGACCATTCTAAGGAAATGGCCAAAACTGTGACTCAAAGGCCTTGTCCCATTACTAAATTTTAGGAACATAGGACTTCCAACATCTTCCTCTTTCCAGGTTTCATGTAAGACAGTTCTGAGGACTGAATTCCCAGTTTTCTACAAGTTGATACAGAATGATCTTTCCCTAAAGCAGTAGAGAGTAGGCCCAGTAGTGAAATTAAAGTAGATATGAATGAAAATTAGATTTTGCAAAGAAGAATTGATAGCATCCAAGGGAGAGAGGATCCAGTTAATTTAAAGCAATAAAACTGTTTTTTTTTTTTTTTTTTTTTTTTTTAATGATTTTAAATAATGTAAGATACATAGATGTTTGCTAGTGTTCACAGACTGAAAAGTACTCCTGTAGATTGTACTACAGGGAAAAAGGGAACAATGTACAGTCTTCCTATACAGAGAGAGATGCCTTGATTTCTTGTCTGCTGAGTTATATCGTTTATTATTGGCAATGTGGTTAAAGTCATTGTTTTGTCATATAACACAGTGAAATGTCAAGAGCTTAGAGAATCTAAGCTTTTTTTTTACTTTTGTTAAGTTTCTAGCCAATACGATTTCCAAAGGAAAGCTTGAAAATATGAAACCCACCACCAAATATCCTCAACTATGCAGAAAATCACGATTGTTGTTTTGTTGTTGTTTTGCTTTGTTTTGTTTTTAATTAAGATAATGACACTGGAAACAGTTTTATCAGTTAATGCTGGCTATACTATGCCTGATAGTTTCCATTGGCCCTTTGGTTACTTTGTAGTAATTAATTAAATGGAAGAAATCAGATCTTCTGGTAAAAAGCTGTTGAGGCCTAATTTCTTAGAGTTTGCTTTTAGTTTATGTCTAAGACAGAGACGTGTAGCCTTATTGCATCCACAATGTACGATCCAAGAATTGGATCTGTATACCTAATAATTACTCATCTAAATCTACAAATTTTCATAAAATACCATCTCTATATTGTGAGTACATCTGTAAGTTAAAAAAAGATATCATAACCTCAAACAAAACAATGCAGGGTTTTTTGATCATTAATAGCCTGTAAACTCAGACTGCAGGATTCTAAATTCAGAATACTAATGGTTACAGTTTCAGCTACCAAAACAAATGTTGCATCATCTTAGAAAGGCAAATAGAAATAAGATGTTATTTAATACAATTTTACAGATTTTTAAACTATTTATTTTAATCTCTGTTACCAAAGTTGTACCTGAAAACATTCTCACAGCATATTGGATTTAATAAAAAATCTCTTTTTTAGTAAAGAAATAATATAGTAAAAGCGACTTTCCCAGAATTATATGAGGTGAAAGGGCTAGGATGATGCTAGATGATGATCTAGATGATGACCTAGATGATGCTAGGGATGCACACCATATTATGAAGTCTCATGAAAGTCCAAAATGAGGGAAAGACATTCACTTTTGGATTTGTAGCATTTAAAAAACCTTCTGCAACACCTCCAGTAAGCATACCTAGTGCAGCATTGTGGTGAATGAATGTGGAAATTTTCCAGCAGAAAACAAATAGTGTAAAATTCCAACTTATGCTGAACTGATGCAAATCAATTTCCTGTCTGGGCTAAAAATCAAAGCAGTTTTTGATCCAAGTACTGTGCATAAATCAGGTATTCATCTTATGTAAATTGTACACATTCACTTCTTCTCTTTCAGTCATATTATTGCAACAGTTTTTCTCCTGTATACATACGTACCTCAGAAGATGATGAGTTTAAAGCTCAACCAACAATATATTCAAATCATTCGTATCTTTAGAAAAAAGCAGGATGAGTCACATAGGTGACTGAAGTACCTTGTGGTTGCAATGACATTAACTATGTTTAGCATCTGGGACTCTTAAGAGGACCAAAGCTTGCTCTCTCTCTTTTAAGGAGTTATAACCCATTTATAGTGCTCTAAGAAATATAGGAATTGAGAAAAGTGCCAAAAAAATCCAGGGAGGGATATACTTTTAATAAATAAATAAATAGATAAATAAATACACCTGCAGCATTGGTATATTTTATAATAT